ATGCTTGTAGCCGGGATAGGGTGGATGGGGCAGGGCTGTCGGGGGGTAGGGGGGGAAGTAATGGCCAGAGGGAGGACGGACACCACCGTGTTTTGAATGTGGTGAAAAAGAAGAGTTATACAGCCCTTGTAAAACTAAGGGGTTTATTTTGTGATTAAATTCCCGTTTCTTCAGATACCACCAAGTACAGAAGTTGAGCTCCCAAGTTTTTATACACATGGTCGTGATTATGGGATGAAGGTGACATGGGGCACATTGATGACATTCTATGGAAACTTTGAAGGGCCGGACCATATAAACCTGTGGCTTGAACACAGTCCTTTGGGCGTTGCAAGTATGTTTGTGGATCATAATTCACAAAAGCGGGTGGTAGAATGTGTCTGTTGAGTCTCCAAGGTGCTCCCAGAACACTTTCTGTTCTTGTTTTTGTGGGTCCGCTGTGACAGACTGGCACGGCCGCCTCTTCAAAAACTGATAATTGCGTTGAAAGCTCGCCCCTGTATGTTCTCAAAGGATGAACGGCGCTGTGGGCTTTTTGGTTTACAAAGTTGCCCTTTGCTAACTCCCTGAACTATCATTTGGGCTGCATGGTCTGTACGGCTGGAAATTGAGCAAGTTGTCCTCGGTGGAATTGGCTCTTCGGGCTCTGCTCTCTGCAGGACTGAGAGACAGCAATTTCTCCTCTTTCGTTGTGGAGCCTTGTAGTCACTCTGCGCCACAGGCTTTTCTCACGCCAAACATGTAGCAGGAGTTGTGAGTGTGAGCACAGCGTGTCAGGATCCCTTTAAAACTGAGTGGAGGCACACTGCGAATGAGCAAAGAAGCGGTATGTGTGTGTAAAACAGGGTTTCCAAGGAAAGTCACTGTCATGGAGTGGACCCACCAGCAGCATCTACTTCATCAGCCTTTTCTAAAGGAAAGAGCTGGTGGTGAAGGTGCTAGGTTGGATAGCTGTGTTTGAACACCCTCAAGCACGCGGGGAAGGAGCGTCCTGGAGAGCAGCTGGGCGGATGGGACGTCACTGTTGAAAGTTGCCTGGCATATCTTCAAGGCTAGCTGATCCTTGCCTGCTTACATTCCTCTAGACCAGAAGGGGCCAGCAGAGACATTTTGCTGGTTTAGCCCTCTGTGGCCAAGGATCAACAGGTGCCTTGGTTATACAACAGACAGCAAGTATCCCAGCCAACCTCCCAACTTGGGAGCCGAGGAAATAGCTTCTCTAGCGTTAAGTACAGGGAAAGTCTGGTTGCTTCTGTTGCCAGCTGGCACCACTGCGGTTGCCATGTGGCACGTGGATTTAGTGTAATGTGGAGATGGTTCTTCCCACGTTTTCCTCTGCATACAGGCATGCAGTTACTGCCAATGCAAGCAAGTGCTTGGGGAGTCATTTCCTATAGTGGGCTAATTCCGAACCAAAGGAATGAGCAACAACCCTAACCTGGAGGTGGCTTGCATATTTGGGCAGAAACGTGGTGTTCCTTACCTTCTGAAGCAGATATGGGCAAGCCTTTCGGCCCACTAGCCAGCTGATTCCCCCCTCCCTCCCCTCTCTTCAATTGATTGATGCTTGAAACAGCAGAGGAGCATAGAAAGGTGTGCAGTGCAATTGCTTGGGGGGCCGTCGTGCTCCCCACCTGTCACCGCCACCCTGGGAACCATTAAGCAGTTGGCAAGTGTAGGTACACATCAACTGTTTCCAGTGCCATTTAGCTGGGCAGACATAAGGCGTAGAGGCACAGTGGGAGGTCAGTGTGCCAGAAGGAGAGATCTGATTATCCTCATCCCTTATGTGCGGAGATAAAAGGCACAGGGACGCGAGTGGTATTTGAGAATGAGTGGGGAGAAAGAAGGCCCTGCCCTGCCTTGCCCCTCTTCTGCCCATGTCCTCCACCCCTTACATGATGGCAATGCTGTATATTCGGGGAGTGGGAATGTTCTATGGAAAGTGGATGGAGGACAAAGCTATTCGAATCTTTTAGACCAGTATAAAAGAAGGATCTAGATACTTCTTTTGCAAAAGCTTCTGATAAAATAATCAGTCCCAGAGGGATAGATAGATGGGTTACAGTTCTCTCCACCATTGCAACAGAATTTAAAAAAAAAACGTTTATGGTTGAGAGGCTCAGCTTGAGCAGTTTTACAACTTTTCAGGAGAGGGCAGCAGTTATTTGGTTGTTGTTCCTCACACATTCAGAAGGGGTGTGTGAATATTAATGATTAATGGTGGTGGTGCAGCAATATTGTTTCAATTAGGTTGCTTCAGTACATGGAGAGGAAGGGGTAGTTAGCAATCAGCTGCTGGAAAATTACTCATGTACTTAATGTTACTGCAGTTGATGGAGTTTGCTCTAATATTTGAAAATGAATGCCCAAATAATAGAGTCACTCTACAGGTGCTTATGGTGAAATAATTTCCCTTGTCTTTTTGTGGGAACTTGCTTTTGGGAAAGGCTTGCTAGTGCTGCAGCCTTCAAGTGCTATACAGATTTTTGTTGTTTTAATAAATACATATGGTACTTTCTAATTAGTTTAAGAATACTGTACATCTTAATTGAACTTTTGTTCATCCCTACAATTAAAGCTGGGGCGTGAAATATTTTTAGCTTTCATTAAGATTGGCCATGCTTGGATGGTTGCATATTAGTTTTATAAAAACCTGTTTGAATCAGCTTTTCGCCCACACACACACACACACAGGGCCTCCTGTTTCCCCCTCCACTGTACAAGCAAGCAAACCAGAAGGTCCAGAAGTAATCATGATTTTCCTGCTAAATTTGAACCTGGAAGCTATGGCTGGTAGGTTCAGAATAAGCCAGGAATATAAGAGATGGAAAAAGCTTTTGACCTTCAGCTCACATGGCCATGGTGGTTAGGATATTCTGGGAATTTACTTTTTCTTTTCTTTTTTAAACTTTTTCTCTCTCTGATCTGGATGCTTCTCTTATACTGTAGCCAGTCGAAGGTATCTTCACTGATGTCTTAAATACGCTGCTCTGTGTTCATAGACTGATTCAGCTTTTCGCCCATGCCCTTTCTCCCTCTCTCTCTCCCCCTCTCCCTCCCTCTCTCTCTCCCCCTCCCTCTCCGTCCCCACCATTTTGGTGTTTTGCCTGAGTGCTTTTTTCTCCTTATATGGCCTTTATCTTAAGTCCTCTCTGCAGGTATCTCTCTTAACATTCCTTCGCTTTCATCTTTTTTGGCTCAGTTAGGGTTGGGCATTTGACTGGTCAGAAGAGGTTTGTTCAGTCATCAACTGCTTCGTGATAACAGCAACAGCAAAGACTGATACTCAACAGCTTTACTGCATATGCCAAATGCACTCAATTTTTTTTGCTAAACAGAGCCATTTATGTTAATAAAAATGGTAACAAGTTGTATTAACTTTTAAGTGTTGGGTAAGTTTACTATAAATGCAAACTATTTGCAAAACAGTTCTGTTTGGCATGGGTGGTGTTGAAGCACTTCCTTTAGCCACAGATGACTGTTTGGGGAGATTTTCACAATTGTAGCTGGCAGTCAAGAGGAGAAGCTGTGCTATATACCATGTTGCCAGGCTTGCTTTTGATTGGTTTTGCAGGGATGTGTTGTGAATGGCAGCTCCTGAGTCCTAAATATAGGATGCTGATTCTAAGGGGAGGATTTCTGTAGCATGTCATATTTTTTTCTGCAACCTGTGTTTGAATTTATGGTGTGAGTTTAAGCATGTTTATGAGTAATCTGGTCTTTCTCACCAGATGACTCATAAACATGACCGAACCCACTTATAAGTTCAAACATAGGCTGCATGAAAAATGTGACGTGTCATAGAAATCCTCCCTATCTTAGTGCTGACCCAAGTGCCAAAGACCTGCTGTCTTCATACTGTTTTTATGAGCCTTGTCTTGAGAGTTCAACATGTTCAGACCCAAACTTGTAAAGATGTTTCAGTCACCTTATGTCTATGCTGTTGGTTTTTAAAAAATGAAACAATCAGTCCAGAATTAAAGGTATTGTATCAGTCCAGATGCGAAATGGAAGTTTAAAACTTCGTAACTTTAAATACTGTACAATATAGTCCTACATTGATCAGGACATGGAATGGCATAGGCAACCAGTGGCCCTCTGGGTGTTGTTTGACAACAGCTCCCATAAACCATATACTGTACAGTAGTGAAAGGTGATGGAAGTAGAGGTTCAGCAAGACAAGGAAGGCCACAACTTCTCCCTTTACCTTGTTGCAGCAAGATGAGAATTCTACCCAGATTCATGTGCTGGCTTTTCTGCTCCTGAGATGTCATAGTCAGCCTGGTGAAACTCCCTCTTCTACCTGACGTTTGAGTCATGGAAGCTCAGCTCTCTGCCCCTGGGTAGAGAGAGACAACCAAGGCATGACTTGAGTTGCCACAGATTTGCTTGCGTTCTGAAGATTCTCATATTTCTTTTCTTTTTTTTTCTTTTCTTTTCTTAGGTTTATGCTGAGCTTAAGGGACCTGCTCTTGCTTCCGTTGAAGTGAAAGCTGACATTACTCTCCTCTTGGACTCGTGGATGATCAAGAATCTAAGCACCCCCAACAAACCTCTTTTGCTAGACTTGGTGGCTCTCTTCAGGGCAAGGCTGAGGGGGCCGCTCCCTGTGGTCAACTGGCTCCTCTTCTGCCATGGATACTGAGTCAACCTACTCTGAATATTCCCACTATTCAGGACACTCCAAAAAAGCCCAGAGACAAGGGTATGGACAATTTCTATTGCGTGGCTAATCTGGAAGATGCCCCTTTAAAGCTGCTTTCTGATTCTATCACTGTATATATAGTGAAAATAGTGCCCAGGGCTTGCCTCACTAAATGCTCAGAGAGAGGACTATCTGTGGGAAGGGGCCCTCTGATGTTTACTTTGGGTGGGTGTTGCCTCTTGCGCTCTGTTCCCTGTAAATAATGAGTTGTTGTTTTATGAATTAGTAATACTTCATACTGGGTATCCAGTGTGGTGTAGTGGATAGAATGACAGACTACGTTTCTGGAGACCAGGGTTCAAATCCCTACTCACTGAGGGAGTCGATCTGGTAAAACTCCTTAAATATTTCACTTACCTTAAAAGCTTGTTAGGATTGCTGTAAGTCGGTTCTGACCTGACAACTAATACTCTGTGCCTACCTAGTCAGGTGTGGTATAGTGCAAATAAGGAGTTGTTGTTTTAATACTCAGTAATACTCTGTACTAGGCACCCAGTGTGGTGATATGGATAGAATGATGGACTAGGACTCTGGGAGAACAGAGTTTGAATCCCCACTTGACCATGAGAACTCACCGGAGGAGTGGAACTGGTGAAACCACTCCTTAAATGTCTCACCTTGAAAGCCCGATTAGGGTTGCTATAAGTTGGTTCCAACTTGACTGCACAGAATACACGCACACACCCCTACTCAGGGCCACTCCTTTCCTTTGCCCTCTTCCATTTGCTCTTTTGTATTGGTTTTATCTCTCCTCGTCATGTCTTCCGGACCTTATTGTGGTTAGATAACAGAGAGAACGAACCTCCTGCAGTTTCCACCAGAGCATCAGAGAGGTTAGACATCCCCTTCTGGAAATTCCAAAAGACGTTGTTCAATTTGGAATGGCAAAAGAGAACTCAAGAGCCCTGTTCTAGTGTCCTGGAAGAGGCTTACTTCAGGTGCCATGCTCTGCTGCATTTCCCTCCTATAGTTTAGGAGGGAGCTGCTAGATATTGTCTTCAGCGCTCTCTTCTTCATACATTAATCTCTCTTTCTGAGATGCAGCAGCCCCCCAAAGACAGAATGTTTGCCATGAGCTTTGAGTTGTCCATTTCAGAGTACAATTTATACAATCCCGCTTCAGATCACAGTCTGTGTTTTGGCTACAGATCTTCTTTTATGATCCATAATTTAGCAGTTGAGAAGCCAGATCCTACCAAAGGGTAGTTCTTTCTTTGATAGTGGTTGGAAATGATGTCTAAATTGAGCCATTTCCTTAAAGCTGCCAAGAGATGGGAAAAGTTAGGGATCCCACCGTACACCTGCCAAGCATGGATGCTGGATTGTGTATAGGAGTTCTAATTCAAAAAATTAACTTGCCCAGTCTCTGCAGCTGTCGTTCATATTCCTTTTACTGGTTTTCTTTCTTTCACCATAGCATTTAGAAAGAGTTTTCTGTTTAAAGATGGGTGATGCCTGTGGATGGGTGATGCCTGCCCTAGGGCCCTTTCTAAATTTCCCTTCTGTCTCTTTTTTTTTTTTTTCTTTTCTGACTCTTGTCCTTCAGTTTATTGTTTCTTCTTCTTCTCTTTTCCTAGTATAATTGAACCCAGGGGCCATGCTAAACTGATAAAACAAGATAAAAGTGGGACTGGATTTCCAAAGGAAGGCCATCCTTTGTTGATGCTAGACGTGGGCAAGACCAGTTGAGAGTGCTTGTTTCATGTTACTTATATATCAGCCTGTTTGTTCCATGAAACTGAAGCCACTTAACTGTGTGGGTAACTAAAGTGGGAAGAATTCACCCAGGGAAATTTGGAGAACTTTCCTGCAATGGGAGACAAAATGCTCGCTCACCTTTTATTTATTTAAAACTCTCCCCCCCCCACTCTTTCTCCTTAAAAGGGACCCAACATGGCTTACGTAATTAAAAAAACCAGTATTGACTTTTTAAAAACTTAATTTACAATGTATCACAGAAGTGAGAACACCCCCTCCCATTGCATGAATATTTTAGTATACAGTATCTTTTCGTGTGATAACACTGAGGAAATGACACTTGGCTACAATGTAAAGCAATGAGTATACAGCTTTTATAACAGTGGAAATGTGCTGTCCCCTCAAAAGAACACAACACACAGCCATTAATGTCTAAACTGCTGCCATCAAAAGTGAGTACACGCCTAAGTGACAATGTCCAAATTGGGCAGAAAGTGTCAGTGTTTTGTGTGGCCACCATTATTTTCCAGCACTGCCTTAACTCTCTTGGGCATAGAGTTCACCAGAGCTTCACAGGCTGCCACTGGAGTTCTCTTGGCGATGAGCCTCGTGTTTCAGGATGCCCCACAGATGCTCAATTGGGTTTAGGTTTGGAGACATGCTTGGCCAGTGCATCACCTTTACTCTCAGCTTCTTTAGCAAGGCAGTGGTCGTTTTGGAGGTGTGTTTGGGGTCATGATCATGTTGGAATACTGCCCTGGTGGGGGGATGGAATCGTGATAAACCACTGCAACACCACCTCCCCTCTTCCCAGGTCTTGCCTGCTGCTACACAGAAAAACCCTGGTGGACAAAGCTGAGTGAGAGTAACACCCCCGGCCTCATCCAACCAAGTCTCTGTAATGCAAACCAGGTCAAAGGCTTGTGATCTGATAATGATGTGCTAGTTTTAAACAAATAGTAAACTTCATACTGTGTCTCTTATCAAAATAGCAAACTAAAGAAATGCAAAGAGTGAAAAGCTTTGCGCGTTCCTACATGTCAGGTTGACATTTTAATTGCTTCTTACTTTTGTGTGGTTTGCTTTGAAATGGCTCCTATCCACTTGAGGAAAGCTGCATGGATTCCCAAGAGTACCCGGGGATGACAGGGTTCTTCCAGAGAAGTTGGAGTGTGTCTTCGAAAATTAATCCACCTGCTTGGAGGCATCCAGCTCTGGCAAGAGTATTCACCAAGTCGTGAGAAGGATGCTTCCCTGCCTTTAGGAGACACAGTCAAGGAGGACGTACGGATCTTTTCTAGAGCATAACAGTGCTTTGCCATTATCCATTCAGCTCCTGAATCCTGGGCATCCAGAGTTTGCAAAGCACTATTTTTGACAATTTTTACTAGAATTTTCAGGGACTTGGGGTGGGTGGGTATTTATTTATTTGCTTAAAATGTTTTTATCCCGCCTTTCTCCTTAAAAAGGATCCTTACATCCTTAAATGACAATATTTAAAGTTTAGAACAATGAGTATGAAGAGGCAGCTTCCATCATGAAAGACGATAAAGCTAAAACAATAAGTATACAGATATCAAAAAGGAACACAAATATCACTCCAAGAGATGGTAAACAGAATTCGTACTAAAGACCCAGTCAGAGCAGAAATTTTTTAGTACTAAAGACCCAGTCAGAGCAGTAATTTTTATAACAATCCATCTAAAAGTCGCACTCATGTAGCCTGTCACTGAAGTTAAATCCATCTAAAAGTCACACTCATGTAGCCTGTCACTGAAGTTCGTGTGTTGCAGCATAAATAATGAGCTATCTTGTGGCATATTATATTATGTAAAAAAAAGTTCCAAGGTTTTATTTTGGTATAAACTTACATGGGTAGGGGCACTATCCTTAGAAAGCTTTCACTTTTCTCTTGGCCATGATGTACCTGCCTGGAACAGATGTGGCCAGATTTCTGGCATCATTTTTGTGTAAGACAGGAGATTTCCTGCTTTCTCATAGAATCAAAGTCTTGAGACTCTCTATCTGTGGGCTGCTCAAAAGCAGTCCAAGCCTGCGTACTGAGCTCGCTCAGCAGGGTTATCTCCTAATCATGGGATCCTTTTGTGAAAGCTTGAAGGGAGGAAGGTTAAGTAGTTGAACAGCACTTCCCAGCACCTGGGCAGAAGCACTAAGCACAGACAGGAGATACAGCAGCTCTTCTATAGCATAAGATTTCAAGGAGTTTCGAAACATGAGGGACGGATAGGAGTCGCCAGCTTAGATACAGTCTGTTCCTTTGTCACAATTTCTACTACCCACTCCAGGAATATTTACCACTGAAAGTTCTTTCAGTGTGACTGTCTCTTTGGTATTGCTTTCTTCCTGTCCTGCAGCAACTAGAAATTCATATAATTTTCTTGACCTGGGGCAAGAGGACCTGTTAGCCCCCCTCCCAGCCCCCAGCTCTGAAGTTATGGAGCTTGGCAGTAGGTTGCACAAGTTCAGGGAAAGCTAGCATAAGTATGCGTTGGTGTGAGATTCTAGATTTTATTGAGACTGGGATATAAGCCAACTCCAATGCAAATGGCTACTCCTTCTTTTGCACTGCTGTGTTTTTATCGCCGCGCATGTTGGAGTAACCAAAGACATGGGAATCGGTCAACTGAATTCCAAAATATTTGAAGAACTGGCCAGATGTTTTGGTTGCAGATTATGGACCGCTGCCAGCAGGGTCGGAGGAGGTTAATGAACTAGGATGCCATCTGTTACTCCCCAATGAAGGGGTTCAGCAGAGCTGTGAAGCCATGCCCTAGTGCACTTCCTCAGTAATCCTCTTAAACATCTGCCAGAGGAATTGGGTTGCTGCGTGGCCTCTCTTGCCTTCTCACTCTGGGAATGCATGAAATGGTTTTGCGTGCCAAAATGCCAGACTGGATTGGCTTCGGCCCCCCCACCCCACAAAAAGACCTGCAAAGCTGTCTCACTTTTTCATCAACTTGCTGAGGCTTAGAGGGCTACCCTTGGTCGAAGATCAGCTTATGGAACCACTCTCTTTCTCTTTTCATGGAAAAGGAGCCGAGACAGGCACAGATCTCCACGGAGTAAAGATGGCTGCCGCTCAGAGAAGTCTGTCACCATTCAGGCACCTCCTGCAGAACCGTTGTTGGGGAATGATTCTTCTCGGGCAGAAGAAGCTCAGGTGAGGAGGAAGGAAGGTGGGCAGAGTGCAGGTTGCAGGGGCAGAGTTTTCTTGGGATGCATATCTTGGCTTACAGCTCCAGGTACGGTTGCTCCATATGACTCGCTGCCCTCTCCTCCACTGTGCTAATACCGTTTGGGATATGGCAACAAAATGATTTGGAAAATTCTTCAAATCTAGCTGCCGTAATTCCCTTGAAATCTTTTAGCAATTCTTTTGTCCCTGAAAGGCCACAGAATGTTTGTACGAGCTCAAATGGGTTTTCTCCAGTGCGCCAATGCCTGTTGGTAATCTGAGTCATTCTTGACGCAGGACATCGCACAATAAACGGCAGTATGTGAAAGGTACCTTGAGGCTGTCATCTGAGTGGGCTGCCTGCTTGCTGCTTCCATAAAAGCTGAGGTCTTCTGTTAGCTCAACTAAGAATAACTCTTTTCCTCTGTACCACCTGTCTAGAGGTGATTTTTCTACTTATAATTCCTGGTGAAGTCCTTCTGCATGTTTATCATGACTGGATCAAATAACATAGGCAGCTTGTACCTAGAAGAGGGGAGCAGTTTTGGAGGAAATCCCCCCCACCAGCTCAGTTCATCAACTGCCGTTGTCAGATAGATGCTTAGTTCTTTTGCCAGGCCAGCTTCATACTGCAAATGGTGGAAGATCCATGCAATCAATTTTAATTTAAATGATAGAGGATTAGGGTTGTTTGGGGGAAACTGTCTACATTTTTTTCTCTTCTTTGGACTCAGTGGTCAAAATCTTGCGGCTTAATGTAGTAAATCACACTAGTATAGGCCCAGTGAATCAACGGCGATTTGAAATTAAGTCAACTCCTCTGTAATTTCATTGATTCAACTATGTAATGGTTTTAGCATAGTAAGTTGCAGCTAGAGTAAGCCCATTTGAATCAATGAAACTTATGGGGGAGTTCTCTGGGCCTACTCTAGTACAATTTACTATGCTAAACAACTGGATTTTGGCCAATTTAGCTTTGAGCAAATAGCTATTTTACATCTTCAGTTTGCCATCTGCAAGATGAGATTAATGGTGATCTCCTTAAAGAGAACTGATTTTCAAAGGACTGTAGAAATATTTAGTAGGGTTTTTTTAATGTATGGCCCTCAACTGTGAGGATACTGCAAAAAGGTCCTCTAATCCACTGGTTCTTAACCTTTGTTACTCAGATGTTTTTGGACTGCAACTCCCAGAAGCCTTCACCATCAGCTCTGTTGGCTGGGGTTTCTGGGAGTTGCAGTTCAAAAACACCTGAGTAACAAAGGTTAAGAACCACTGCTCTAATCCAAACTTTTCAAAATGGTGAAGGAGAAGCAGTTGATTTGTTGCCATCTTTCTGATAGTTCAAAGTTAAGCGGTGTAGCTTCTCAGTAAGATAACGTGGAATGAGGAATCTACCAGTTATATGTACTAACTGGAGTTTATTGGAAATATCTAATATCCTTTAGCAGTCTAATTCTTAAAATGGTAGTTCCATTTCAGTTCCATTCTTGACAGCGGCTAACTGTCTTAGCATCTGTTAAAGTAACACCCAGGCTAATTGTGTATCATAATTGTTCATTTCTGTCCTCTGCCCATTATGTATGTCTGCTGCTGAAGGTAGACACACTAGGATATGATAACTAGCTGTAGCTTTCACGGGCATGAACACTCACATTGGCTAAGATAGGTAACAGTCTACCCTTGGTTTGTGCTGAATTCTTTGTGAGTGTTATTGTGCCTTTCATTTTTATGGACATAATCAAGTGCAGATGCAGAAACCTCAAGAGCAGGGATGGGACAAAGCATGGCCTGCCAGTTGTTGTGGGACTGGAACTTCAACTAATCCTAGCCAGCATAGTTAGTGGTAAAAGTTGATGGGGATGTTAATTCCAGCAATCTCTGGAGAGCTACATTTCTCTTGCAGTAGAGTTTTGCAATGTACTTTATTGACTGTACATGTCCACTGTAATGGTTACTGTGAGAGTCCGTTTCTCAAAGAAGCATGAATATAACTTGATTTTTCTTGAAGAATGCAATGGCTTCTCCACTGATATGGATGCATAACAAGAATACTATATTTGTCCTGGTTTTTTTTTCTCAAACTTGTTTTGTTCCAAAAACAACAAGAGGTGTGTGAGAAATAGTCATGTATTATGGGTGCAAAACATAAGTTGAATACTCTTACACACCTGAAGGATTTGTTGATGAGCAAAAGGTAACTGATCTAAAATAACCTCTGGTTGCTAAATATTGGTTTTCAAAGAACTATAGAAAGGCCATAGTTATTAAGTGCCTTACGTTATTAGCACAAGGATACATAGCAACAGCAACAGCTTTTTTTAAAAAGTAAGACATGTAACTTGTGGTGCTGGAGGAGACTCTTGAGAGTCCCCTGGACTGCAAGGAGAACAAACTTATCCATTCTGAAGGAAATCAACCCTGAATGCTCACTGGAAGGACAGATCCTCGAAGCTGAAGCTTCAATACTTTGGCTATCTCATGAGAAGACAAGATTCCCTGGAAAAGACCCTGATGTTGGAAAAGTGTGAGGGCAAGAAGAGAAGGGGACGACAGAGGACGAGATGGCTGGATAGTGTCATTGAAGCTACCAATGTGAATTTGACCCAACTCCGGGAAGCAGTGGAAGACAGGAGGGCCTGGGGGCTCTGGTCTATGGGGTCACGAAGAGTCAGACACAACTTAACGACTAAACAATAACAGTGCTTGTGGTTTTATATTCTTGATGGTGTATGTTTGCTATTTCATCTGGTAGGTGATTGGACCACACTGCTGTTTGCTCTTTTCCCCATTTGCTGTGAGTTTTCTTTTCTGACAACAGATCCTTGGACTTGGTGCTGGATGACAGTGGTGATCTTTTGACAGCAGTCTCTGTCAGCTGGCAAGCATAAATAAAATATGGTCCAAGAAAGTATTGTTTGGCAAATGAAACTATCATGTGACAGATGGTGAATGAAATAAAAGGGTTAAGGCAGTCCCTGCATGCATTTTTCTGCTTAGTTTGTGTGCACTACAACTGCTGAATTTAGTTGCTAAAATCAATTCAATTTGTTCAGAATTCAGTTGCTAATCCCGGCGAGAATAGACCCACTGAATCAGGGAGATTTGGATTTTGGCCATAAAACTTGAATTTAAATGTTTTTAATACTCATGTAAAGGGGAAGAACAAGCCCACTCCATTGCCCTTCCTGTTGCCTCCTGCAAATTAGAAGGAAGACTTCTGTTGTGAGAATCCTTTCCTCCTTATGTAGGCTTTCTGCATGATATAGAATCCCAAAGCCAGAGCTCACAGCTTGCACTTAATCAGGCACGTAGACTCAGATGCCACACATCTGGAGCTTGACAACACTAGGCTAGCATTTTCAGGTATAAAAATGAGTGGCATCTGAAAGACCACTGAACATCAAAGAGTTGGCATGACTGAATGAATCCTCTTCTTTTCCTTTCAGGATGACAACTGGGGTGAGACCACAACAGCCATCACAGGTACATCAGAACACAGCGTCTCCCAGGAGGACATTCCCAGGCTCACCAAGGACTTGGAGGATGGTGTTGGCTTAGACTGCAAGCGCTACCTTGTTTTAACTGTGGCTGCTGTCCTGGGACTCCTGGTCTTCCTGACTCCCATTGCCTTTATTCTGCTTCCGCAGATCCTGCGGAGAAGTGAGTTGGAGCCATGTGGCACAGCTTGCGAAGGACTCTTCATTTCTGTGGCTTTCAAACTCCTGATCCTCTTGATTGGTACCTGGGCTCTTTTCTTTCGTCAGCCCAAGGCTGATACCCCAAGAGTGTTCGTGTTCCGTGCCTTCATTTTGGTCCTCATATTTCTGCTGATGTTTTCTTATTGGCTCTTCTATGGTGTCCGCATTCTGGAGTCCAAGGACCTCAATTACCAAGGGATTGTTCAGTTTGCTGTGTCCCTGGTGGACGCTCTGCTTTTCATTCACTATCTTGCTATTGTGGTGCTGGAACTGAGACAGCTGCAACCCATGTTTACGCTCAAGGTTGTTCGATCGACAGATGGAGAATCGCGCTATTACAGCTTGGGCCAGTTGAGGTATGTTGTCCCTTTCTTCAAAAAAAGCAAAAAAAAAGAGGAACAGGGAAACTACAGACCAGTCAGTAAATTGCGGATGACACAAAGTTGGGTGGAACAGCTAATACCTAAGACAGAAACAGAATTCAAAAATATTTTGATAGGCTTTGGCACTGGGGTGAAAAGAACAGAAATAATGCTATTTTAGGCTTCATTAGCAGAAGTATAGTCTCCAGATCCAGTGAGTTACTAGTCTCCCTCCATTCAGCACTAGTTAGGTCTCATCTAGAGTATTGTGTCCAGTTCTCAACATCGCACTTTAAGAAGGATGCCAAGAAAGAGCAAATTCAGAGGAGGCAACAAGGATGACCAGGGGACTAGAAACCAAGCCCTATGGTGGGCTCCACAGACATAGGATTTTGGCACAAATGTGCTGTATGGTGGCTTACAATTGTGAACATGTAGTTTCGCCTCCTGGCTTTGTTTTCTGTAATCTAAAATGTCCAGAAGAGTTTTGTACCTGTTTCATCATGGCTGCATTCAGTGCCCTTTTTGAAAAAAGATACTGGTTCAAGAAAAAGGTATTAATGATGGTAATAAGTTGTCTTACTTGCCTTCTCTGGAACCTTGTCTCAAAACATTTCAGAATCTATTACCTGTTCTTTGGCAGCCAATGGTTTTTAGAGGGAGTTTATCCAGCTTTGTAGCCCTCTGATGGGATGTTTGGAATCACTCTTAAAAATGTCAACTATATGACATTCTTGTTAGAGCAGTCCTACCCATCCCTAATTCACCATCCTCTGATACATTCTGCATCTTGGAGAGCATGTGAGATGTGCTTCATTCTACCTCCTGTGCCTTGAGCCCAGGTCACTTGAGGGGTTTTTCCTGAAATCCTTATACAATGGCTGGAAACCCCCAGGCCTTTGCAGAACAGTAATTAAGCCATATGCTTTGGAAATGTCCTTGTGAGCGATTTCAGGGTCATGACTTCATTTTGTAGCTAAGCTATTAACTGCAGCTTTAGGTTTAATTTTTGCTTGCTTTGTATATGAGATATATTCAGTCCCAAATTCCTTCCTTCCTGCCTCCCTTCCTGCCTGCCTGCCTGCCTGCCTACCTGCCTGCCTACCTATTTATGAACAACAAAGGTGTTTCCAGAGGAGACTTTGTGCAGTTGCTACGCTGAAAATTTTGGAATTTTATATGGGTCACAGATCTGTTGTCGTCCACTTGGAGCCTTCCTGTGTTGTGTTTTTTACTACCATAACTCCTGAAAAGAGGGGGAGAGAGAATTTAAGAAATAAAATATAAAATGACTGCATATTGTCTTTTGATTTGGATTGCTAATAGTCTGGAACCATCCAAAGTAGCAGCATAAAAACCGGATTCTTGCCCTGGAAAGTTTCTTAGCTACATTTCAACAGCATAGGAAACACCAAGCTGAGAGTAAAGAGATCAAGGGCGGGCAAGAGTAGTGGGGCAAAAATTGTTTATGTTCTTGGGCATCAGACTTTTGCTTTGTTGGTTTTGTTTTTGTTTCCTCATGGCTGTTTTGTAGTGATCTAACTTCTGTGCAACTCTATTCTCTCTCAACCCCTCTCTTCCTCTCCCATGATAAATCCAATATTAGTCTCCACTAGAGTAGACCTATTGGAATAAATCAAATCTGTTACTCACCACCAGTTGATTTCAGTTGGGATCTACTCTGATTAGGATTAACATTACGTTTAGCCAGTGTAGAATAAGAGTGAAGATTGTTTCCTTCACTCAGATTTGCTTACTTCTGTTGGAGACATTATCAGATGAAGGCTGGAGGCTCTTCTAAAATGTGATTGCAAGTTATTTTCTTACATTCTATGTAGAGATGGGTGCAAACCAGCTTCCCTGATCCACCTCCCCCGAATGCTGGAGAAGATGGGGCTAGTAACTTCAAAAAACCTGTTCATCAAAAGGATGAACCAAACGTTTGTACCCATCTCTAATTCAGGGGCGTTTGTCTGAGGTCAAGGCATGTGTCGAAGGATTATGTGATGTTCCAAGACTGCTATGTCTGTCTGATTTATAAGTAATAAGGAGAATATGGCAGTAGCATGGTGGACCTCAGTATACCTCCAAGTGCTGTGTGGGCAGAGCAGTAGTTGGTTAGGCACAACTGTTCCATGTTATTTTAAGTCCAGCAGTCAAAACAGATGAAGCAAAGCCTCTTTCAGAGTGCTTGTGATGAAGTCTGTAATTTCAGTGCTTGCATGTTCCTCTCCTGATACAAATACTTGGCATCTCAACCAGCATGAACTGTGAAGTCCCGAGTCAATTTGCAGCCCTTGTGTAAGCACTGACTGCTATTTCAGATGTAATACAGGCTGCAAATCAAATTGCAGCAAATTCTCCAATGTAGTCGCACTCTCTGGGCAGCCCCCAGCCAGTAAGGTGCTGCCTCACCACAGTCTGTTAATCTCACAGGGTGCATGGGGTTTAGGGTGAAAGCCGACAAGCAGATCGATAACCCTGAACCATGCAATAATCCTAAGAAAACCTCTGCCCTAAGGTTGGGCACCTGGAATGTTTGGACAATGACACCTGGCTTTTCTGATGGCCTGCAGGAGATAGGTGATGCATGCAAGACAACTGTCATCGCCATGGAACTGAGTAGACTGCAGATGGACATTGTTGCCCTGCAAGAGACGAGATTGCCAGACTCAGAATCTGTCAAGGAAAAAAATTCTCATTCTCCTGGCAGGGAAAACCAATGAATGAAACCAGGAAATATGGTGTTGGCTTTGCGATTATAAATACTCTGCTGAGATCTATTGTTCCACCTACTGCAAGAATCCTATCACAGCTGCACTCATCAGCAGGACCAGTCACCCTCATTAGTGCATATGCACCAGCACTATCATCTACAACAGAAGTCAAAGACAAAGTCTACAACCATCTGGCAGCTATTATTTAAAAAAATCCACTCAAGAGAGCCACTATTCATTCTCGGAGACTTTAATGCTAGGGTTGGTGCTGTTCACAGTTTTTGGCCCACTTGTCTAGGCTGTTTTGGCATTGGGAAGATGAACGAAAATGGCCAACACTTGCTAGAGTTTTGCTGTTGTTATGGTCTCTGTGTCAGCAACACATTCTTTAATACGAAGCTTCAACACAGC